ATATTATTTGATTGTACTGAAAATGTATCAAAACTGGATAGGTTTTATAGAATGAAATGATATATGTCACGAATTGATGCAATTATTTTAAAAGGAAATAGTGGACTCGGACACAAAAATATGCATGTCATGTCATTGACCTATATATCTACATAGTGGGTACGGAAAGTATTCAGACCCCTTTAAATTTTTCACTCTTTGTTTCATTGCAGCCATTTGCTAAAATCAAAAAAGTTCATTTTATTTCTCATTAATGTACACTCAGCACCCCATCTTGACAGAAAAAAACAGAAATGTAGAAATTTTTGCAAATTTATTAAAAAAGAAAAACTGAAATATCACATGGTCATAAGTATTCAGACCCTTTGCTCAGTATTGAGTAGAAGCACCCTAAATATACCCTAAAGATACTTCTCTGTACCTGAAGTACATTTAATGTGCTTCACTACAACCTCCAGGACATTTGGTCAAACATGGATGTGTAGTGTGTCTGTTGTAATTTAACCTTTATTGAAGAAAGAACAGAATGCCTGATGATCTTCTTCTGTGGTGGCAGATAGAGTTTAGTGTTGATCATCTGTTCACTGGGTTCCTCTCTAAAGGTGCGTTCACACCAAACATGTTAATCGCGTTACTCGCGGGGGACCATTTGTGGTCATTCGCGTGAATCTCGCATTCGCCCTCGACAAGCCAGAGAGGGGGCGTGGCTTATCGCCCTGGAAGCCGTTCACAACTGTCCGCCATCAACCATGGAAGAAAGAACCTCCATTTCTGCTTCGTACTTGTGGAAGTCCAGATATCAGGAAACTAAACGCCGTCTTGTCTGGTTCATTACAGTCCGGAGGAGCTCCGTGAATTCATGGAGCTGTGTTCACTGTGTCTAGCTGGTTTACTACAGCTGTATCAACACTAAACAAACTGATTTAACTGCAATAAACCGATAAAAGGGACTCCGAAATAACTACGTAATGATGCCGGTTTGTAAAAAGTCTGAATTCATGTTTAGTTAGTTCTCTCCTCAAGACGACAAGCAAACAACTTTTAACATACTTGTTTTCTGAATGTAGCTCGGATCGATTGGTGCTATGCAAAGCTAACATTGTAGCAGCTCCATCGACACTCAGAATGACATCATCTCGGCGTAAATACGTCAGCGTCTCTTTCATTGTTTGTACCGTATGGTTTACACACACACATTTATACACAGTTTGGTCTCTGTTGATCTGAGGTGTTGTAGAGTTCTGGTGAACACAGACGGATACAGTGTTTGTTTCCTGATTGAACAACGACAGGACGTCACTGATGACAGGAGAAGCATCTCAACGCTGATAGGCTATCGCGCCGCAGCGGCACGCCATCTTTTTCGGCGGAGTTGAAAAATTTCACACGCGTTTGAGGCGTTTTGCCGATTGATGCATCAATCGCGCCATCGCAAATTCGCGTCACTCCAGTCTCATCGCGTCTGTGCATAGACTTTGTATGTAATCTACTCGTTTGGTGTGAATGCACCTTAACAATCCTCCTCTTCCTCTGCAGCGACTCTTCATTATGATCAGCTCTGACTGACTGACAGGTGTCAGCTATGATCGGAGGACTCTTCATCTACAACCACAAGGGGGAGGTGTTGATCGCCAGGGTGTACCGCGATGACATCGGGTGAGTCCGAAAGGTCACTGCCCAAGTGCCCACGAGCCAGACAATAAAACTATAAAAACACTCAGTCACACTGAGGCTACTCGCAATGTGTTCAGCGTGTTTGGGTACAGGGGGGATCACGTGTCTGGGTACAGGGTGATCACGTGTCTGGGTACAGGGGGGACCACGTGTCTGGGTACAGGGGGGACCACGTGTTTGGGTACAGGGAGGATCACGTGTCTGGGTACAGGGAGGAGGAGGACGTGTCCGGGTACAGGGAGGACCATGTGTCCGGGTACAGGGGGGACCATGTGTCCGGGTACAGGGGGGACCATGTGTCCGGGTACAGGGGGGACCATGTGTCCGGGTACAGGGGGGACCACGTGTCCGGGTACAGGGGGGACCACGTGTTTGGGTACAGGGAGGAGGACGTGTCCGGGTACAGGGGGGGACCACGTGTTTGGGTACAGGGAGGACCACGTGTTTGGGTACAGGGGGGGACCACGTGTCTGAGTTTGCAGGATGCGGTGGGACAACAGTCTTCCTAAATAAACCGGTCTGATACGTGGGTTGGATTCAGTGACTTTAATGTTGTCCCTTCTCGTCTCAGGAGAAACGCCGTGGACGCGTTCCGAGTTAACGTCATCCACGCCCGGCAGCAGGTCCGCTCTCCGGTCACCAACATCGCCCGGACCAGCTTCTTCCATGTCGAGCGCTCCAACATCTGGCTGGCGGCCGTCACCAAGCAGAACGTCAACGCCACCATGGTGTTCGAGTTCCTCTACAAGATGTGCGACGTCATGTCCGCCTACTTTGGCAAGATCAGCGAGGAGAACGTCAAGAACAACTTTGTCCTCATCTACGAGCTGCTCGACGGTGACACTTTTTATTTTGAAAGGGCAGGACAGAAAATGACTTCAGCACTGTAAGAAATAAAAGTAGAAACTGTCAAGTATATGTGGTCTCACTCTGTCTCCGGTTCGGTGGTTCTGACCCTGAACTCCAACAGGAAGTCGTCCATCTTTCTGCTGCTCTGTTGTTTTTTTAGGTTTTGATTTTTGTAAGCGTTGGATGAGAAAATCTAAACCTAAAGAAAATACAGCGCTGACAGGAGTCATCTCTGAGCTGCTGATCTGTGCTGCCGTTTGATTGTTTGTTTGTTTGTTTGTTTGCTTATTTGTTTGGACTAACAGTGTTTGTGTCCTGCAGAGATTCTGGACTTTGGTTACCCTCAAAACTCAGAGACTGGAGCTCTGAAAACCTTCATCACTCAGCAAGGAATCAAGAGTCAGGTAGGACTGAGACATTACATTACATTACAGTCGGCCCTGCTCTCCACTTAGCCACAGTCACCCGAGACATGATGTGGATTTATTATTAATAAATAATAAAGTGATAAAACTAAGAGGAGACTACTACTAAAGAAGAAAACAGACTGTACTGTGCTTTTAATGTGAAACTCACTCTTTCCTGTTTTCCTTTGGTCTCCTGCATTGTCCTACAGCACCACGTAAGTCCACACACACACACACACACACAGTGTTTAGTCCCTATTGAGTTAATTTAATAATTAATATTAAATACATAATGATAATAAAAGTCTCTGTGATGCTTCAGTACATTTAACCAAACAAGTTACAGTACTATTGTTTAGCTCTAATACTGTTAATAATATTAATTTGAATACACAGTCCAAAGAGGAGCAGTCTCAGATCACCAGTCAGGTCACTGGTCAGATCGGCTGGAGACGAGAAGGAATCAAATACAGACACAACGAGCTCTTTCTGGACGTGATGGAGAGCGTCAACCTGCTCATGTCCCCTCAAGGTAACTAATGTCCCCTCAAGGTAAATGTCTCCTCTTGGTAACTAACGTCAACGTCCCCTCAAGGTAACGTCCCCTCAAGGTAACTAACGTCAACGTCCCCTTTAGGTAACTAACGTCAACGTCCCCTCTAGGTAACTAACGTCAACGTCCCCTCTAGGTAACTAACGTCAACGTCCCCTCTAGGTATCTAACGTCAACGTCCCTCTAGGTAACTAACGTCAACGGCCCCTCTAGGTAACGTCCCCTCAAGGTAACTAACGTCAACGTCCCCTCTAGGTAACGTCCCCTCAAGGTAACTAACGTCAACGTCCCCTCAAGGTAACTAACGTCAACATCCCCTCTCGGTAACATCCCCTCAAGGTAACTAACGTCAACGTCCCCTCTAGGTAACATCCCCTCAAGGTAACTAATGTCAACATCCCCTCTCGGTAACATCCCCTCTAGGTAACTAATGTCAACATCCCCTCTCGGTAACATCCCCTCTAGGTAACTAACGTCAACGTCCCCTCTAGGTAACATCCCCTCTAGGTAACTAATGTCAACATCCCCTCTAGGTAACTAATGTCAACGTCCCCTCTAGGTAACATCCCCTCTAGGTAACTAACGTCAACGTCCCCTCTAGGTAACATCCCCTCTAGGTAACTAATGTCAACGTCCCCTCTAGGTAACATCCCCTCTAGGTAACTAATGTCAACGTCCCCTCTAGGGAACTAACGTCAACATCCCCTCTAGGTAACATCCCCTCTAGGTAACTAATGTCAACATCCCCTCTCGGTAACATCCCCTCCAGGTAACTAACGTCAACGTCCCCTCTAGGTAACATCCCCTCAAGGTAACTAACGTCAACGTCCCCTCTAGGTAACATCCCCTCAAGGTAACCAACGTCAACGTCCCCTCTAGGTAACATCCCCTCAAGGTAACTAACGTCAACGTCCCCTCTAGGTAACGTCCCCTCTAGGTAACGTCCCCTCTAGGTAACTAACGTCAACGTCCCCTCTAGGTAACGTCCCCTCAAGGTAACTAACGTCAACGTCCCTCTAGGTAACATCCCCTCAAGGTAACTAACGTCAACGTCCCTCTAGGTAACATCCCCTCAAGGTAACTAACGTCAACGTCCCCTCTAGGTAAGGTCCCCTCTAGGTAACTAACGTCAACGTCCCCTCTCGGTAACGTCCCCTCAAGGTAACGTCCCCTCAAGGTAACTGACTGTCCCCTCATCATGTGACTACAGGTCAGGTGCTCAGCGCTCATGTCTCCGGCCGCGTGGTGATGAAGAGTTACCTGAGCGGGATGCCAGAGTGTAAGTTCGGCATGAACGACAAGATTGTGATCAACAAGCAAGGAAAAGGAGCAAGTTCAGAGGATGGAGCAAAGAGGTCAGAGATCACACAGGTCACCTGCATCACCACCTCCGTATATGGTCACTTCCTTTCTCACTGTGTCCTCTGTCCTCAGTGGTAAACAATCGATAGCCATCGATGACTGCACCTTCCATCAGTGTGTTCGTCTCAGCAAGTTTGACTCTGAACGCAGCATCAGCTTCATCCCTCCAGACGGAGACTATGAGCTCATGAGGTCAGAGGTCACACACACACACACACCACACACACACACACCAGGAGACATCAGGCCTTGAGATGTGTGTCTGCAGGTATCGGACCACCAAAGACATCATCCTGCCCTTCAGGGTCATCCCTCTGGTCCGAGAGGTCGGTCGAACCAAACTGGAGGTCAAAGTCGTCATCAAGTCCAACTTCAAGTCGTCTCTGCTCGCTCAGAAGATCGAGGTACCACGATTAATATTAATAAAATATATGATAAATATATAATATAAGTCTTGTTAATATGTATATTATTATGAATTTAATATTAATATAAATAATAACCTAATATTTAGTTTTACAGAACTAAACATGTTCACTGAAGTTATGTTGACGTTTATAAAGATCAGCTATTAATAATCTAACTGGAGGATCGTGTCTTCTCTCTCAGCTCTACTTCATTGATTATGTATTCATATTTAATAATTGATGACCCCCCCCACCCCCCCTCAGGTGAGGATCCCCACCCCCCTCAACACCAGTGGGGTTCAGCTCATCTGTATGAAGGGAAAAGCAAAGTACAAAGCTAGTGAGAATGCCATCGTGTGGAAGTAAGTAGGTCTGTGACATCACCAGGTGTGTTGTGTGTGACATCACCAGGTGTGTTGTGTGTGACATCACCAGGTGTGTTGTGTGTGACATCACCAGGTGTGTTTTGTGTGTGACATCACCAGGTGTGTTTTGTGTGTGACATCACCAGGTGTGTTGTGTGTGTGACATCACCAGGTGTGTTGTGTTTGTGACATCACCAGGTGTGTTGTGTGTGACATCACCAGGTGTGTTGTGTGTGTGACATCACTAGGTAACAGATGTGTGTGACATCATCAGGTAACAGATGTGTGTGACATCATCAGGTAACAGGTGTGTGTGTGACATCATCGGGTAACCTGTGTGTGTGACATCATCAGGTAACAGGTGTGTGTGACATCATCAGGTAACAGGTGTGTGTGTGTGTGTGACATCATCAGGTAACAGGTGTGTGTTTCAGGGTGAAGAGGATGGCCGGTATGAAGGAGTCTCAGATCAGTGCAGAGATCGAGTTGCTTCCAACCAAGGATAAGAAGAAGTGGGCTCGACCTCCAATCTCCATGAACTTTGAGGTTATTAATTATTCAGTATTCACCTGTACAGGTAACTGAGTACAGACAGGTTGATTGCTCTCTAACTCCCCCCCCCCCCTCAGGTGCCCTTCGCCCCCTCCGGTCTGAAGGTGAGGTACCTGAAGGTGTTCGAGCCCAAACTGAACTACAGCGATCATGACGTCATCAAATGGGTTCGTTACATCGGACGAAGTGGAATCTATGAGACCCGCTGCTGAGGAAGAACACGACATCATCATCATCATCGCTGTGTGTGTCTCCCAGTGAAACCAGTCCTCAGTAGTTCATATTCTGACTTTAAGTTCACAAACACTGGGTCCTACACTTCCCACAATGCACCTGGATAGAGTCTGTGACTAGAGGCTGACCTACATGAGATAGGTGGTCTGTCCCTTTAAGAGACTGTCCAAACCAGTCTGATCACGGAACCGTTTACCCAGCATGCTTTGCTGTCAGTGTTCATTGAATTAAATAAATTCATGTCTGTTTTTATTTTTAGTGTTTTTACAGTTTTTGTATCGGATGTGTCAAATAATAAAATGTATGAATCTGTACTCATACAGCTGTTTTTGTGTGTGTGTGTCATGAAAAGTCATAGTGTAGTATGTCAGTCTGTTTCTACTGTAGTACAGCCTGTGTGTGTATATGTGTGTTTTCTCTGTGTTCAGTGTGAGTGTGTGTATGTTTAGTGTATGTGTGAGTGTGTGTGTGTGTGATGGACAGGTGAATGGACAGAGGTGTAATTAAATCCTCGTCCTTCAGCTGTGGCTGAATGTCCGTCTCTCTCCTTCGTCTCTCTGAGAACCAACGCTCCAGCCTCCGGTCGGCTGGACGGCTGCCAGGAGGCCCCCAGGGGCCCTGTGACCTCATACTATATAGTGTATGGGCCCCATGACCCCAGCCAGGAACACTGAAGCATTATGGGATTTGCAGGTTCTACCTGAGGGACTGATGACTTCACTTTGTTCAATGTGTTCCACTTTGTTTGAAAAATATGTTGTAGTCATGGTGACAACCAACAGATTCTGAATCAGAGTGTTTGATTCATTCATGACGACAGAATATATTAAATGTTGTTTCACAGAAGGTTTGTGTTTGTTTAACAGTCTGCACCAGCTTTGTGGGGCTTAGTGAGCTAACTTCTGTATAAACTAAAAAGACTCACTAACGTCTGTATGAACTATAAAGACTCACTAACTTCTGTATAAACTATAAAGACTCACTAACTTCTGTGTGAACTATAAAGACTCACTA